CATTACACTAATTTTTTATTTAAAAAAAAAACATTACACTAATTTATATACTTCATCACTACAATTAATCATCGCATCCTACTAAAAACACAATGTAAATTTAAAATTATTCAATGCATTCTAATTTCTAAATATTCATTGCATCCTTATTTCTCATTTGTTAAAATTTTAGGTCTCCAAGTATCTAAATTTTCAAAGAAAACTCAGAATTTTAAATATGCAACGGAAATAAATAATCAAATAATCATGTGATTAAAATTTAGCATACAAATTTCGATGTTTGGGTACCTAAAATTATAACAAGTGACATCAGACTTAGTATAATATGTCTGATTCTACTATTTTCAAGTTACTTCTGTAGATTCTAAATTATAAATAGCATAATAGTGAAGTAAATAGATTCTAAATTATAAATAATTATAATAATTTAATAAATAGCTTCTAAATTATAAAATACATAATAATTGACTAAATAATTCTTAATTATAATATTATAATAATTGATTAAATAAATTCTAACATATAAATAATATAAATAATTGAATAAATAGATTCTAAACTACAAATAATATTAATAATTGTATAAAGATTTATATTTATTCAAATTAAAAAAATAAAGAAACTAAACAAAACTCATTTATATTATTTAAATCTTATAACGAAGAATAGTTGATATTTTAATTAATACGTTTTGAATGATAAAAAAATATGTCATACATTTACTATAATTTAAATAAATAAACTGAGTAAAAATATTATTTATTAAAATTTCGAAAATAAGAATTTTATTTAAAAAATAAAATTTATATATTTATCAAATATTAAAAAAAGGTAAAATAATATAAAAACTAAATAAAATAAATAAATACAAATCCTATGTAGCTATTGAATATAACATATTTTATTTGGATAAATAGCAATATCATTTAAATTTATTTTAAATAAATTTAATTTNTAAAATTTTGCTTTGTTCTTGTTGTTTCAAATAAATGTGCGTTAACATATACCCTCCATTGATTGCAGTAGAGTAATTTGAAATCTTGCCTATTAAGGTTTTGGCCTGTGTTTGAACCTTGGGAGCAGCTTAATGTATTAATTTTTGCCCAACAATGGATAGAACAACAAGGAATGAAATAGTAAATTTCAATTTTAAAATAAAAATATAAAAAAAAAATGAATAATTGTGGCAGTACAAACATGTGTACTGTATGTACGCGCCATCAAAATTAGACGGAGAAGGCCACCATTAGTTAAATACAAGGGAATTTTAGGGTTCGTATAATACAGTGTCCCGTATATTTTACCCATTATAATTAATTTCACGTGCAAGAAACTCAAGAAATATATTATGATTATGATATGGTCAACATATAATAAAGTCAAAGAAAGTATTTGGCTTTTGGCATAGGTTTTCAATAACAAAATACGAAAAAGAGTATATAAGTTATATGTAGTTAATATAGGTTTAGGAGAACTTGTATTTGAAGTTATAACTAATAACTTAGTGTCATATGGTTATGATATATGGTTACGTACGTAAAAGGAACTTGTATCTGAATTTAACTAATTAACTTCAATTTTTAATCCGCAAAATTGGAATTTTTTATTTGAAAATTAGTAACACTATTTCGCAAGCTAGCAAATAAGTATCCTATTTTGGGGTAAAAATACTCACATGACAAGCCACTACTGCACCTTTTTTTTTTTTACAATGAAAGTCTCAACTCTTACGGACAATTTTTTCCTAAATTGTTTGCTTTATTATATTATTACTTCCTTATTATTTAACCGGAAACATATATATTTCCTTAAAATAAACATATTTTACTTTCCTTGTTTAACGGTAAACATATTTCTATCACAGAAAACCTTTTCCTTTCAGGTTTGGTTTCCTTTTCCTATATATAGATATTTTATTCCTCAAATGCATGTGATCATCTAATAATCAAAAAATAATAATTTGCAGATATGGATGAAGAATTTGAGTTACCGGAGCACATAATCCACCGCATTCAATCCTTCCTCACCGGAAAAGAAGCTACTCGGACATCTATCCTCTCCAATGCGTGGCACCACGCGGCCCTCACTCGCCCGAATCTCGACTTTGACGTACACGATTTCAGAACCAGTCGTGACGAAGACGAGCCAAACACCAACTCAGACAACAAATTCTCGAAATTCGTGAAGGACACTATTTCGAGGTACGATGAACTGAAGCTGAAGATCTCGAGTCTGAGGTTTCGTGAATATACCGAATGGCAGGCTAATGTTGCTTGCTCATGTGTTCTTTATAAGGAATTGATCCCGAAAGCACTTAGTATGGGCGCCACTCTTCTCGACATCGGTGGAGATTTTGTGTTGCCGAACGAGGTGTTTGAAGCTGAAAATCTCGCCCGTTTATCCGTGGAGAAATGTCGAATCAATCTAAGCCAGCTGGATCGACCTGTAAGATGTCCTCGTCTCAAATCCCTTAGTTTAAGCCATGTCGATATTGCCGAGCCCAACCAGATTTATCGCATAATCTCTGGCTGCCCCTCGATTAAGACATTATCTTTCGTCGATACTGTTTGCTATACGTGTTCGGTTGGTGTTGGTCTCGCCAATTCTCATGCGTTGACTTGTCTTCTTTGCGACACGACATTTTTAAACTTTGTTACGGCGGGCGACTTGTCCTCCAAGTTTCCTTTCCTAAGAGATTTGACGCTACACGATTTCTGGGCTTACCCGAAAGAGATAGTGATTAGCAGCCGTTCGCTCGAGCGCTTGAATTTCGTTTGCCTCGAGCAATATTCAGAGAAAAAAATCAGGTTTGATGTTCCGAGTCTCCGCAAGTTCACGTACGAAGGTCCTCTCATTCATCAAATCTCTTTTGCACCGACTTCGAAATTTCGGGTCGTGTCTCGGCTGGCTATAACGGAAAATTGTGGCCTGAGCACCGCATGGTTCGGAAAGTTGGAAAATCTTGTGAAGGAGTTGGGGCGCTCGGAAATTCATATTTGTCTCCGTCTCGGCTCCGAAACTATTTTCAATTATGAGGCGGACGAATTTCAAGGCGTGACGAAATTATTACTTGAAGTGAATAATTTCACGGTGGACTTGGATGGTTTGTCGTCTTTAACTTGTTGCGTCCTTTTTGATGGTTTGTTTCGGATATGCCGTCCAAAGTTGGTAACGCACTACCTACTTCCGGAGTCGAGCTGCGGTGGGAAGACAAACAATGATTTTCTCGGGAAGAGACTTGTTGAGGGAGTGAATGGGAAATTCTCGATCGGGAGGCATCTTATGTCGAGTGTGAATGATCTCAAGGAAGTAAATGTGCAGCTTTTTGACGATGATGTTGGTGTGTGGACTCCTCTGCCATGGGATTCATTTTTAGATGCTTCGAGAAGCACAAATAGAAAGCGAGAAATTCGCTTTCAATTGGAATGGAAACCTTAGATAATTAGTTCTTTTTATTTACAGTTTATTATAAAAATTGGCACTACTGTNATACACTATAAACTGTAGTATTTTTGTGGTTTGTGAATATAAAAAAGACGGCTTAAGGAGAATGAAGAAAATGAAACAAAATCAAAGTCAAGGCACGTAATAATTACGTTCTCCTTAAGACGAAACTAGTATGAATCTCGTGCGATGCACGGGTAAGAGATGTTCATTAATATTTTTAAATTAAAAATGCTCATTAAATAATATTTATAATTTAAAAATATGGAATCAATATGTAATACAATTCACCTATATTAATTTATTTAAAATATTATATGAAATTTAAATTGAGCAAAATTACATAAATCATGTATATATAAAATTAGTCACAACTCGTACAGTGTAGGTAACTGATAATAAATTATATAATATTTCCATAAAATAACTATTTGATAAAATTTTATCATAAATTTAAAATTCCATGTGAATAATAAGTATAATATTAATTTTTTATTTTGTTTTATTAATTAAAATAAGTTTATTTTTGCATAAACTATCCAAATAAAAAAATTTAAGTAGTTGAATAATTTATTAAACTATAAATAACTGAATATTTTATTTACATTCAAATTAATATTGACTCATAAGGTATGAAAAATTATTTGTTTGAATTTTAAATTTCGAACCTATATTTGGACTATACAATAAATCTCCATATATATATATATATATATATATTATTAATCTCGAAATTTTATTAATTTGTTGTCAATTACCTTGTCATTCAAATTTATCAACTAATTCTTTAGAATTAAATTACAAATATTAATTTTTATTAACAAATATTTGTTCAAAGATCTCTCTAATTTTCAAGAGAAATACATACCAATTGTTGAATTATCATCAATATCTTATGGCTATTTCTTATTGGAATATGCTAAAATTTGAAAAGCATATCACTTTGATTTTATAACAAATCATTCTAAAATTTGACTTTCATACCCATGCAAAATAATTCATATCACTTATTTTATTTCCAAAATTTTCAAATACACTTCTATCCATACCAAATAAAACATATACCATTTATATTCGAACATTTCATACCAAAATAAAATTATTCTCTTTTTATTCATCATAATACTCAATTATTATTTTATTATAAAATTTATTTTTAATAAAATATGTATTAAGATAATTGTTTAAACTAACCACCCAATTTTATTATGTAAAAATATTTTGATATTTTCTAACAAACTAAATTTTATACTTTTATAGTTTACGCAACACGAAATTTTATTTACGCTACGTAGTGTAAGAACCAAAATGCGACGAATTATGTTATAAAGATTTTCAAACACTAAAAGGTATAAATTCTATATGAATGTTTGTTAAGGCGAGATTACATTATTTATGGGAAAGACTATGCGTCAGGCACGGCTAAAAATTTTAAATATTGATTTGTTAAAGTTATGTGGATTATATTGAC